CATGGCTCTCTACATCTTCCAGTCCCCTGTAGCTCTTAATAAGTTTTGTCTTTTTGTTATTTTTCACCGACCCTTTTCTGCCATCCACTTACCCAAGCCCATCAACTGAGTTACGTGCTGCTTTCCTCTGTCTCTTTATCCCTCGATCTGTCCTGTGAGTATCAGATTTTCCAAGCCTTCTTTCACATTATTTCAACTGCGTCTTCCTGGTGTTATGCATAAGTTTTTGTTTCCATTTTCTCCAAAACCTCGCCGTTGCCCATATATTCGGTACATGTTATCCTCAGCATCCTTCTGTAGACGCTACTTCGACGAGAAAGTTAATAAGGAAGCTTCCTTCAATACTAGAAAGAGCAATAACAGTTAGTGGACTTGAGAAACCTGTTTTCCTGAAAACAAATTTTAAGACAAAAGATTGTATAAATTCCAACAGAAAGTAGCACTGGCTGTCTGATCAAGGAATACCGAATGCCTACTTATAAGGAAGCGATTAATATCACCATTGCCCTTCCGTAAGTATGTATTCTGATTCCCTATGGGCTAGCCACCTGCAATGTTCAAAACAGACCTATTTACCTTCGCACTACAACAGTCAATTCTCTGCTGACATCTTTTGGGTAATATATTGTATGTCTTCGTATTTGTTTACGTTTGCACTGCTTACAGTCACTACACACACACACACACACACACATATATATATATATATATATATATCTTACACATGTATATCACGCAAACATACATATATATTTATCACACACACACATATATATCACATATATTACACACACATATATCACGCACACGCATACACACACATATTTATATATCACTCACACATCACACGCACATGTGTATATCACACGCACAGATATATATATCACACATATATCACACACACATATACCACAGACAAACATATATCACACAAGCAGGCACACATATATATCACATACACACATATATCGCGCGCGCACACACACACATATATATATATATATATATATATATATATATATATATATATATATATATATATATATATACGAGGTTAAGTCAAACATTATATTATATAATAAAGACATTTCTAACGAATTAATGGATTTTTGTTTCAAATCCGACATTATTTCTTGTTACTATATACGGTATCTATCTATCTATCTATCTATAGATAGATAGATAGATAGATAGATAGATAGATAGATAGATATATATATATATATATATATATATATTTAGGTACCTCCAATAATTCGCTAAAAATTACTATAGCGTTATGATAAAAGGCCCCAAACTTCATAAAAACAAAGTTTTATCGTCAAAATATTCATGTTATTATTAAGAGGAAAGAACAAAGTACTTTTGAATTATTTTTTAATTTTCTTTTTCCTTCTTTCTAACACGTTCTCAAAATTTTTTTGTCAACTTTGTACTACTTGTGGTAATGGCCATTTTAGTGTAGCTGTTTCAGGGGGAAAACCCATTAATTTGGAAATTCTTGCAAAAATCAAATAATTGTCTGATTTTAATGAAACTTTCAGCTTTTCAAAAATGAATAAATTTATTTTTGAAATTTTTTTTTAGAAAATCTTTGAAAATTTTTTTTACATCTGTAATTAGATAAATAATATACATTGAGGACATTATTATCTGAAGAAAAAATTTTTCGATGAATAAAGAATTTTTACAAGAATTGTTTGTCTTTTTCTTTTAGTTTTTTTTTTTTCATTTTTCTTTAATTTTAAAAAATATTTTAAAATTCTGCCAGAGTACGAGTTAGGTTGTTAAGTTTTTAAGTGAGGACTATATTTACTAAGCGAAAATTAAAAGCTTAATACAAATCATGCTACCAAAACTTTTTACCGTAATTAAAAAAAAATTTCTGCGGAAACCCCCTTGATCTTTGGCTTATCTCAGTTATTAAATTATAAATTAAATTGGGATAATAAAATTCACATTTATCAATTTAAACAATTAATAACTGAGCGAGATAATTTAATCTATACATATGATAAACAAAAGACGTAATATTTGACACCGAAATCTGAAGATCCATTGGGATAGCGACAGATGCCTTCCAAAAGCAAAGCAAAGTATTAAGAAACAGGAAACATTCAACAGAGGCAACAAAAAGAGGAGCAGAGATTTTATGTAATATCACTTCTATGCTAATGAATAATTTCTTCACAGAGAAAAGACTTGAGATATAGTTCTCGAGCTGAATGTTGAGAATACCATGCAAGCAACAAGGGGATTTTAATGAAAACAGAAACGAGGGCTATCCTTAGAATCAGAAATTTTGGAGGCACATAACGAGGAAAGAAAGCTTGGAGAATTTGACATTCACAGGACAAATTGACGGCAAGTCAGCCAGGTGGGGGGAATGAGTAACATATCTGTCAAGTTTGTGTAAATGGACTGCAAAACAGGGAATAGAAAGGATGGTAAAAGCATTATAGCTTAGAGCTATAAGAGATATGAATTTGTGGAAAGCCATTGTTGCCCAAGTCCTGAAGAGACACGGCAAATAAAAGAAAAATTGACGATAGTTTGGAACGACTGGCCACATTGATTGATACACTGGTTCGTTTTCTACTGTTTATCAACCCTTTACATGTTATTTAAATCCAAAAAATATTTTTAGATTGCAAGAATTATATTTTTTTAGATAATAATGATTTACTGATGTAGTTCTTAATAGTTAACCCATACCTGGGGGGAAGAACAGGCGAATATAATGGGAATTGGAACTCGGCTATCCGGTTAACATTTCCAAGTCATTATCCATTACACCACCCGCACATGCGAGCTTATAGCACCTGGTATTCCCAAGCAGTTGCCCATCTAGTTACTGACCACGCTCGACGTTGCTTAACATCGGTGGTCGGAACACTTAATACTCACAGGATGTATTGATGGGTTATAGGGAAGTAACGAGAAACTTACCTAATCAGTTTGTGTTGAATGGATGAGAGTGCATGTTGCTTAGGGTTACAAGAGGTCAGAAGTTGTGGAGAGCTATGATCGCCTATGTGCAAAAGAGACATGGTGCATAAATGCTGCTGCTGCTGAAGATGATGATGATGATGATGATGATGACGATGAAGAAGAAGAATGTGTGTGTGTGTGTGTGTGTGTGTGTGTGTGTGCGTGTTTATATGTTTGATCGGGTCTCCTACATTTTTCAACCTATTTCAACCAAATTTGACAGAGTTACTGCTAATGGTCCTGCGGAGGTTTTTGACGGCGCCAAAAACTGAATTAAGTCAATATTTAAATCAATATTGTCGATTTTTCATTTTTAATCGGACGCACGCCTGTGTAATTATGTACGTCCATTGCACACAAGCAGATATGGGCACTTATCATGTTATAATTAATAGCAGTAGCATAATTATAAATAAAAAGTCGGATTTCAGGGATTATATGGGAATAAGAAAGGACAAGAATGTCTATATTTTGTTTTAGGATGTAAAAGTTATCACAATGAAGGATTTCTGTCCCAACCGAACTTTGCGCTCCAAAAGGCAATTGGATTAGTGTTATTAGTCACGCGTGGCTCGCGCGATGTCTAATGCTTGCTGCTGATTGGCCCATGCGAGTTCATGTGTGAACGGGGGGGGGGTCACGCATGCGCGCATCAAGCATCCCAAATGGGGAAGATGTTTCAGGTAGTCTACTTTTATTTTAGGATTTAACGCTCATACCATGGTTTTTAAAAAGGATCTTTTAATGTTTCAATGTAGGCATGCATTACTTTCCATGTTTTCTGCATTTGCACAGTAAAGTAAACTTCAATTTTAAAAGGGATTTACAGAGCTACATGTCAAATTTTAACAGAAAAATCAGTAAAAACAAGGTGAAACTGCTGCTTTTTAGTTGTTTGTAGCCCATTTAGCCTACTAAAGCATAGGATTGAATTCAGTGAGCAATCACGAACACATTTCACGCCACTTCACGCCGCCACTTTTAAGCCAAGTGGACAGTATCGGCTCCCCACTCCAATTGTCAAATTTTTCACATTTGATTGCATTTTTTCATTCGAGGGAAGACCGGGGAACTGTTATGTCTTTTCATGCCGTTTACGTGAAGCAAAAGGCACCTACTCGCTCTAATTTTACTACTGCGCATCGCTGCTCCAAAAAGTTCTTGCAACTTAAATGCCTTCATCATCCATCAGTAAACGAAATTAACATTGCTTCAAATTTTGTTCGTAAGAAGTGTAAAAACGCTTGTATTTTCAACTCTTGATCAATAAAACTACCTCATATCTCCTGGCTGCTCAAAATTTTCAAAGAAAAATGAAGCTCGAAAATCCTATTTTCTGAATGGCTGACTTTGAGAGTATGTAAATCAAAAAGGCAATGCCTATTTGGGGATAAGGAACTAAATAGCTTTCATATTTATCAATAAAAAAACAGATACAATAAAGTCGCCAGATACTATTTTGAAATGTCATCCGCCACTGTGCACTGCATTGACTAACCCAGCTGGAGGTTAACCAATCGCGTCAACTGTTCAAGGTTGCTGCGAGCTCATTGGCACGGTTGCAAGCGTTTAACTTTGGGCCCATCCAATCATACGCGCGAGCAGTTCTCTTACGCACGCGTGTGCACGTGCGTACGTACGTCATCTTAGTATGTGCGCTCAAGGTCAACCGGCCAACTGCCTGTTTATACCATAACTCGAACGCGTGTTCACACTTCTGCGATTACTGTCCTGCACTTCATTCGCTTCTTACGGAAACCGCAAGTTGTTAATTACGTATCCAAACTGTGTTTTTTTTAATTTTTTAGTTATAACTACATCCCTTTCCGCGTTTATCGAATTTACTTCCCAAATTACTACCGTTTTAGCTTTAGTTGAATTTTTTAAACTTCACTTTTTTATGTCTCTTGGGATCCCTCTAACCTGCCTACCTTTAGACTACACGTATTTTTTGCACTCAAAAAATCTACATACCTTTTATTAGGTTTGCCTTTTTAAAATTGGTTAAAATGTCGCCTAAGAGAAGAAAACTTTTTGGGAGGCGCACGGCTGCTGCCTCCGCTACAAGAGCAACAAGTGCAAGTGAAACCCCAGAGCAAACTTCGTTGCGCCTTTCTCAGATGGCCTCACGCTCTGCTGCCTGCATCTCCACGGAAAGTACCGCTGTACGGACTGAAAGACTGGCATCAGCAGGATCAGTTATGTCATCACGACGCGCTAGACTTTCCACTGAAGAGCGTTTAGTACAGAATTCACAGGACGCAATACGCGTTTCTAGGGCCAAGGCTTCCGAGTCCCCAACACAGACAATCCTTCGGCGTTTAAGGAATGCCAGCACTACAGCATGTTCTAGAGCTTTAGAAAACCCTGAACAAACCAATTCGTGTCGTCTTAGGAATGCTAGGGCTACAGCATCTTCCAGGTTTTCGGAACAACCTCAACAAACCGCTAATCGTCGTTTAAGAAATGCCAGCGCTACTGCGTCTGCCAGAACTTTAGAAAGACCTGTGCAGATCGTTAATCATCGTTTGAGTAATTTCAGACCTACTGTGTCTGCCAGAGCTTCAGAAAACCCTGGGGTACGGCGCGCACGGCTCAACAATAATGGCCAAATCGCAAAGACAGACGCTCAGCGTCGTGGGTCTGCATTTAAGTGAACTGTTTCGCCCATGGACGGCTTTACGTAGGCTGCTCCCGAGTTGGGAGTAAGGGTAACATTTATGTTTACTCTCCAACAAACAAAGCTAAAAATATTACCTACGCAGAAGTCCTATAGCCCATGGTTGGTCACGTTTAATCGCAATGTACACATCTTTATGTCAGCTGCATTGTAGGTTCCTTCATTTTTGAATCCGGTTTATTTAAAGGCCGTCGTAGTATCCACTTGACATTACTAAGACATTTCATTACAGGTTGTCTTGCTCACCAGATGCTCCCTTATCACGTAAACCCCACCATAGCTGCATTCGCACTTACATGTCGACCACGTAACCATATTCAGTTGCAACACAAAACCAATACGTGGGAAGGTGGATTCGTTTAATTGTCAGAGAAATCGAGTGCGTCCACGCAATTCAGGCCTCAGCAAAAAGAAGTGGGATAATAAAAGAATAGCAGCATGGACAGTTATATGCATTCTCTGCTGTACACCATTAGTGTGTTTCTCCCCTTACCATAAGGGCTGCTTTAGGTAATGCTACATGCGCTTCATGCTCACCTCAACTAGCTATTAAAAACTGCAAAAAAATTTGTGCCACTTACAAGTACTCGCCGCGGCACCTTCCCATACTTCTGTTATGTGGTTCTGTTTGCGGTAGTGGCAGTGCCGTCTTTTGGGCAAAAGATGCGTCTACCTTTCACGCTATTGAGTTTTACTACGTTACAACTGACACATGGCTTCATGTAATGTCTTGCACTCAGGGATAATAAAACCATCCCATCGGAATACAATGCCATCTGCCATAACTCATCAAAAACTTCCTAAGGACCGTGTTCGTATTGAACTTGACAACATTTAATTGGAGGTGTCTTAGTAATGGCAAACGGCTGATGCTAACATGGCTGTCCATTGCTTCCTTTTAAGCCTTACAATTTTTTTCTTCTGTTGTGCTGATGAATACTAACAACTTGTGTATATTACGTTTTTTTTTTTTACATGAGCGGCCATCAGTTCTACTAGACTTCAGCCTTACATGCGTGTACAAAATGAGTATGGCAGTTATGACCTTCCATTCAGAGGAAGTTTACTCCCGGGCAACGCCGGGCTTTACTGCTAGTTATTAATATAATAATAATTTTATTAGTTATTATCTCAGTTATTAAATTAAAAGTGTAATAACTTAAAGTAATATTAATAATTAATAAAATTATTTATCATTATCTTAGCTATTAAATAATGAAAGAGATAGAGGTAACTCAATAATGTAAGAAATTTTTATTGTATTTTAAATTATTATAAGAAACAAAAAAAAACCGTTATGTCAATTTTGGTCCATCATACTAAACATGTCAACACATTCAGCCATCAAATTATCGATGGAGACATCAAAAAAACATTACACCGAGGTCAAGAAATGTTTTTCTAGAAAATTTTATGCTATAAGTAAGTGATATTTGTTTCAGAACAGATTAATTTAACTTTAAATTTGCTAATTTTACGAAATTAATGTTTCAGAAATGTATATCTTATTTTAGCGGGATTTTCAAAAACGAAAAAATAAGTTTTGCGTACATTTCCCTAAAAAAGTTTAAAATGGCCGTTTCGATTGATTCTTCCGGAAGAATCGATTAAAAATCATTTAAATTTCTATTTGAAATGCCCCACGGTATTTTTTTCTGGAATTAGAAATTTTATCCTTTAACTTTCAATTGAAGCTGGGGAAAAAACTTTAGGCACACAGAATCCTTTATGAAAATACTTTTTAAACTTTAGGCTCTCTCTCTTTTGAGGTCCCTAATCTCTCTCTCTCTCTCTCTCTCTCTCTCTCTATATATATATATATATATATATATATATATATATATATATATATAAATAGTAGCAATATAATATAAGGAACGGAAACAACAACGACATAAATATGTGTATTACTTAAGAAGTAATGCATGATTAGCAATGTAATTTTACCGAATAAAGATTAGGTGTAATGCATAAATATTATACAAAGTTACAAAAATTTACATAATAGTTTGGTTTTTTTAAATAAAATTAAATGTTAATGAGTGGGTGGCAACGGTTATTTTTGAAACTATTCACGTTTTTCTTTATATATATATATATATATATATATATATATATATATATATATATATATATAGGAGCGTTGTTGTCTGTTACTGAATCCAGATGATCAAGATGTGTGTATATATCTCTGCCTGAATGTTTGACGCGATGTAGGCTTGTGCCGAAAGGAAGTACATGTGTGCAGTCATGCGCGTTCCGTATTTCCTTTCATGCATAGAGAGATATATTTTTGAAATGGCGAGGCAATCAGCTTTTTCACTTTGAAGAGAGTTGAAAAGAAAAAGTCAACAGCCGAAAACATTTTTGTTAAATGGATAAATGGAATATGATAAAAGGTGAAGAAAGGATTATGACGACGGTCGATATGAAATAAAAGCAGACAATCGATGCAAATTTCAAAAAAAAAAAAAAAAGAGAGAAAGAAAGAAAGCTTTTATATTAAAGAAAGACGTGTAAAAATATCAGACATTTATAGTTCTACGTGTATATTTCAATAAAAACATTGTTAAAATCTTGTTTCTATGTATAGACATTCACTTTGATTTCGACGTATGAAGGCCCATAAGTTCAAGTTTAGAACTGAACCACTAAACTATTCACACAGAGGTATTTGAATATGATAGTGAAGTCTTCTGTAGGACAAGCCACGGATGAACATATAATAGAGAAATGATGTACAGTGTGCCAGCGCAAAGTCTCGAACCAGTTTAAAGGTTCGAATTCACAATTTTCTTTCTCCTATATATATATCCAGGTAAAACTATCCGTAACATTTAATTTAAAATATGGCTCAATACAGAGTAGAGCTAAATATTATTTATGTTATGATATTAAAACAAAAACATGTAAAAAAAAAAAATCGCTACACAATTACAATTATATTACAATACTACAAATGTGTCTCCTCAGGCGATGGTAAGCTACGCCCGAGGAAACAAATTTGTAGTAATGAAACATAATTGTAATTATGTAGCGACTTTTTACATGTTTTTGTTTTAATATCCTAAAATAAATTATATATATATATATGTACATTACATATATATATATATATATAATTTATTATATATATACTTTATTTTATATATATATATATATATATATATAAACAAAGTGAGAGAGAGAGAAAGAGACTAAATAAAGAACTAGTCTGAAAACTGTTATAAATTCCGTTGACAAAACATAAAATTTGAATTGCACACACACACACACATATTTGACATCTGAATCCCAGCCTATCGACTAGATCCAGATATATATATATATGTGTGTGTGTTTGAGCATATATGTGTGTGAAAGTGGACGTTTCTATTATACATCTCCAAATATCATTTCAACTTTTGATGATGTATAATACAAACTCCATCTCATATTTCAATCGAAGAAACTTTTTCTTTTACCTTTTTTTTCTTTCGAGTATATTAAATGACGTAATCTAAGGTCTAAATGATTAGACATTTCAGCTAACCTGTTACTGAGCGTCTTAAAATTTAAATATTTCCTTTCGAAAATGCTGTATGACGTAATCTAGAATTTTTATTTATAATTTATTTTGTTTAAAACTTTTTTTATAGATACTCATATATATATATATATATATATATATATATATATATATATATATATATATGGGGGGGCTTTGGTTTGGTGGAAATGTAAGCAACTTTGTGTCGCTAGAGCAATTACGACTGAGTAGTGAGTTCGATGAACGTCGAATGATCTATACTTTCATTTACGCTTAGAAAATCACAATATAATATATATATATATATATATATATATATGTGTGTGTGTGTGTGTGTGTGTGTGTGTGTGTGTGTGTGTGTGTATTTATCTCTGTGTGTGTATCTATGTGCGTATGTATCTGTGTGTGTTCGATGTGCAGAAAATATAAAACGCAAATAACGATATATCTAGTGGGCGGGAAGACCGTTGAAAATTTTTTAAAAAGGAGAATCATTTCAATTTTGAACAAGAATCAGTCGATAGTTTGCTATCTTTTGAGAGAAAAAAATTAAAAAAAAAAAAAGATCACCTAAAAGCTGTCTTCTTAAGAATGTTGCTTGCGTGTGTGAGTCACGTGATTCGATGATCTTTGCAAACAACGAAAACAAAGTTCGCTCTGCGCATGCGCAACAGTCAAGCCTTCGTGCCAAAACGAAAAGCGCTCTAGTCAGCAGGGAACAATGAACACAACTCCAAACAAATGAATATATTAAAAATGAGCGATCTTGGAGAGTTGGGACAAAAGGTGTCTGGCTCCATATTTCCGTGAGCCAGGAATTAAAATATTTTAAATGACACCAGTAAATATTAAACTTTTTTTTCTCCTCTACCTTTAAATTATTTTGTGAAAGATACGATTCCTTTGTACGTCTATGAATGCGTGGAAACGTGATTTTAAAATTTTGATGTCATTAAAAACAAAATGGTGGGGGACTAATATCTATTGGTAATTTTGATTTCCATCTGGCCTACAAAATAAAGCTAATATCCATTTCTTTTCAATATGCAGACAATTTTTTTTTAAATTAAAAACTAAGGAAGCACGTTATTGACAACGTTTCATTTGAATTATGAGTTTACAAAATTTATATAAGGATTTGATATTTTATTTAGGTTTTCATATATAAGTATTTAGATATTTTTAATGCTTCAGAAAGTAAGACGGTCGTGACTCTCCATGCATAGATAGATAGATAGATAGATAGATAGATAGATAGATAGATAGATAGATAGATAGATAGATAGATCATGAACATACATAGATATGAACATAGATATAAACATAGATAGATAGATAGATAGATAGATAGATAGATAGATAGATAGATAGATAGATAGATCATGAACAGACATAGATATCCTCCAAATCAACAAATCAACAATTCGCCCTTGCATGGAGTATTGCTGCCATATATGGTCTGGTGCCCCTTCTGTTTGCCTCGGAGTTCTTGATAGGCTCCAAAGGCGGATATGCAATGAGGTTGGCCCTGCCCTGGCGTCTCGTCTACAGTCACTTTCTCACAGACGCGCCGTCGCCTCCCTCTGTCTGTTCTACAAATACTTTCATGGAAATTGCTCCGAGGAGCTGCATTCGCTGGTTCCCAGACGTCATGAGTTCCAGCGCCTTACGAGGCTGGTACCCCGCTCTCACCCCTTCACTGTCGAAATTCCTAAATGTAGCCGTCTCTTCTACTCTAAGAGCTTCATGTCTCGCACCTCTCGCCTGTGGAACTCCCTTCCCTTCTCCTGTTTCCCTGTTAGCTATAATCTCCAGCTATTCAAGTGTAATGTCAATCGACATCTCCAGTTGCCTTGATCTATCCACTGCCCTCATCCTTTCTTCTATCACTCCTATCTGATCTTGCTCTAAATTTTCTGTAACCCCTTGCGTCCTAGTGGCTTCCCTCCTTGCTTGGGGTGAAATGCTTAAAAAAAATATGAACATAGATATAAACAAATATAGATAGATAGATAGATAGATAGATAGATAGATAGATAGATAGATAGATAATGAACAGACATAGATATGAACATAGATATAAACATAGATAGATAGATAGATAGATAGATAGATAGATAGATAGATAGATAGATAGATAGATAGATAGATAGATAGATAATGAACAGACATAGATATGAACATAGATATAAACATAGATAGATAGATAGATAATGAACAGACATAGATATGAACATAGATATAAACATAGATAGATAGATAGATAGGAACAGACTGAGATAGATAGATAGATAGATAAATAGATAGATAGATAGGAACAGACTGAGATAGATAGATAGATAGATAGATAGATAGATAGATAGATAGATAGATAGATAATGAACAGACATAGATATGAACATAGATATAAACATAGATAGATAGATAGATAGATAGATAGATAGATAGATAGATAGATAGATAATGAACAGACATAGATATGAACATAGATATAAACATAGATAGATAGATAGATAGATAGATAGATAGATAGATAGATAGATAATGAACAGACATAGATATGAACATAGATATAAACATAGATAGATAGATAGATAGATAGATAGATAGATAGATAGATAGATAATGAACAGACATAATGAACAGACATAGATATAAACATAGATATAAAAGATAGATAGATAGATAGATAGATAGATAGATAGATAGATAGAGATGCCTATGAATAGACCAAGATAAATAGCGGCAAATTTCAACGAAAAGACACGTAAAAAGAAAGCAAGAACGTAGCTGAGATATATGTTCGCCTGCATATGAAGAGATCATGATAGATAACGAAACGAAAAGGTTTCAAGTCTCCGCTGGCATGAAGACGGGATCGCGTACTTGAGATCAGTGTTTTTACATAAGAATTTAATATGCTTATGCGTTGGTATTTTGCTTTCTATAGTATAGCAATATGCGCATAGCGACTGATTTAGTGATCGCGTGCGTATCCAACAGGCGAAGAGAAAGGTCAACATTTGATTTTTATTTTAGACAACGTCTTTCCCTACGGATTCCTAAAGCAAAATACGTATTGATTTTCGAAGCCACATGACCGGTCAGAGTTGTCTGCCGTCGATATTAAAACACGCAGAAATCCTAATCCGACCACGCATCGATATGAAGATATTTAAAGGCAAGAAAGACAAAATAGATAGGCAAGCCATTAACGAGCGGTATTACGGCCATGTCAGGTTGAAACATGGATTCTCGTGCAATCATCGAAGTTAAGCAACGTCAAGCCTGGTCATTATCTGGATGGGTGACCGCTTAGATATGCAAGTAGTGTGCTCTGTAGAAAAATTAGCAACACTTCAATAACCTTAACTTATTAAACACGAGAAATTAATTGATGGTCACATGTAAACCTAAAACTAAATACCGTTTGAAATACGCTAATCCGAATTCATTTCTAATATAGATTATGACTTTTCCTTTTCTGTTTACCTATATTATGTCGAGCATATATATATATATAAATAGTTTTAGTTCTGTTTATTTTAATATAATGTTTTAAAGAATACAATTAACCCCCGTTTATTTTAATATAAAATATAAATCCCGCCTATCTTAAATACAAAATATTTGTGGGGTTTAAAATAGATCTTTAAATACAAAATATTTTCTATAGTTTTAAGTCCGTTTATTTTTATACAAATTTTAGAATGAAAAAAGTAACCTCCGTTTATGTTTAATATAAAATATAAATCCCGCCTAGTTTAAATAATTTTTGTTTTTATTAGTAATTTTTATTTTTTTTTTGTTTTTATTAATAAATTCATTTTAATATATATATATATATATATATATATATATATATATATATATATATATATATAAAAAAAAAAATTAATCCCCGTTTATTTTAATATAAAATAAAACATTAATCGCCGTTTATTTTAAATATAAAATATAAATCCTGTTTATTTTAAATACAATATATACTTTTATTTTTAAATATCCCACATTGCGATAATATAAGATACATCATGAATAGAGAAACATTGTCAGAACCTTTTACACAAATATATATATATATATATATATATATATATATATATATATATACTCACTCGACTCTCCGTCAAATTCGACGGATGAGGGTCAATTCCTAGGAAACCGACAGTCCGACAACAGCACATTAGATTTGATTATAGTGGTGAAGGTATCGTGCAGGACCATCCACACTTTTTGAAGGGCCGAATTCAGAGACCTGGTGCGCTAAGTGCCACAAGGTCCCCAAACGATCCTCCGCAGGTTTTGAATTCAGAGTTGTCCTTCTCCTAGACCAGTTGCCATCCAAGGCTATAGAACCCAGTCTGCCCTGCTATTTACCCATAGAATCCATCACATTCACTTACGTGCTAATACTTGGGAAAGGTATGAATCCTCTTCTTTTATATATATATATATATATATATATATATATATATAACGCATATATAAATATATATATATATATATATATAACGCATCACACGTTTATAAATTGTAATTTAATTCAACGGTTAAGTTTTTAACACCCGATTCATCAGACCGAAATTGCAAAACGATTTTCTAATTTTATTCTGATGAGACGTTGAAATAAATTATAATTTATAACCGTATTTTCGATTATGCGTTAAGTTTTTCCTTGGTGTATATCATATTGCTTTGTATACTATACACTGAGCTCTCTTTATGGATATCTCACTTATATTAAAAAGACCTACTTGGATTATCCTTTTCACTTATGGATTTGATATTATTATCTATCTATCTATCTATCTATCTATCTATCTATCTATCTATCTATCTGTGTGTGTGTGTGTGTGTAAATGTTCGAGAGAGAGAGAGAGAGAGAGAGAGAGAGAGAGATCTTGAACCAAAATAACAATTTGAACCTCAAACTTAAAAACTGTCTCAAACTTTACTTAACGTAAACCCCAATAGTATCACCACAATTTTGCCAACGATCTGTCTGTAGATTTATTACGTTAAAAACTCGGATCACGTTCGCAGTGCCTTGAAAACAGATAGATAGACCATAATAATCCAAGTAGGTATTTTTAATAGGAAATAATAAGATAGATCCATACTGTTTTCATTCTAAAATTTGTATAAAAATAAACGGACTTATAACTATAAAAAATATATTCATTTCTCTTTAATAAGTTAGGGTTATTTAACTGTTGCTAATTTTTCTACAAGGCACACTACTTGTACATCTAAGCGGGCAATGACCAGGGTCGACGCTGCTTAACTTCGCTGATTGTACGAGAATACGTGTTTCAGCGTGACATGACCGTAATACCGCGATAGATAGATAGATAGATAGATAGATAGATAGATAGATAGATAGATAGATAACAGTTCGAGAGAGATTTCTTGTTGGAACAAAATAACTAACAATTTTGAACATCAGACTTAAAAACGTCATAGCTTGCCTCAAAGATTGCATAATTGAATCGGGGCAGTTTTACTAACAATCTGTTTGCAAATCTATAACATGTAGATAATACCATGTGTCACAAGAGTTGACAAGAATGCCGGCAGGCATTTTGGGCTTTTTCGAATTGGTACTTCCTGCTGTCGAGTATCAGCCCGCAAGAATTTGTAAGGAAGAACCTCGATATTTAACTGCAATCGATTTTTTGCTGGATAGTTTTAATAAAGTATGATGTCGGGTCTGATCCAGCTGCGAGATAGAATCATTTCTATTCATCGCTGGTGGTCAAAATGCTTGCAACTTTTGATGCAACTGTTCCAAAACACGATAACTGAACTCTGAACTGATGATCTGACCAGATCGCAGAAGGTTGTAATTATTATACTAAATTTCGCTGAATACAAGGCTCGAGATTAACTCGAGGTAAAGGGATACTATTCAAATGGTAGTTATGTTCACCCTGAATAAGGCCCGAGAGCCACTTGGTGTAGAAGGTAACAGGGTAAGAGGTACAGTTTGTGGAAGATAACGGTTAATCCTACACTTGAACAGGTTAAGATACACAACACTTGTCTATATTATTTAATGAAACATATATATATATATATATATATATATTAGGTTGGTGCAAAAATAATGTCGTTTCCTCACATATGTTATTTTATATATGATTTCTGAATTAATTCATTGATATATATATATATATATATAGCCATGTTATATATCATTTTGAAGCGCGTTTTTCGTTCTATCGAATCGTGTTATTCGTTGCCGTTCTCAATCTCTTCATTCATTTTTTTTTGCAGGCTTTTCGGCAGCATTGACAAAATTCAAATCCGCACGATTTTCTTGTTCCAGTTCAAACTAGGCCGAAAAGCTGCCGAGACAGCTCGTGATATCAATGATGCGTTTGGCCCAGGAACCACTAACGAACGTGTGGCACAACGGTGGTTCAAGAAATTTCGCAATGGTGACGAGAGCCTCGAAGATGAAGACGGTCGCGGCCGGTCGACTGCGGTTGATAACGAACATTTGAAAGCCTTAATTGAAGCCGATCCTCGCAAAACCACACGAGAAGTTGCTGTTGATCTCGAGGTCGACCACTCAACAGTTGTTCGCCATTTAAAGCAAATAGGGAAGTCAAAAAAGTTGGATAAATGGGTGCCGCATGAATTGAACGATAATCAAAAAAATCGTCGTTTTGAGGTGTCTTCTACGCTCTTTCTGCGCAACAAAAACGACCCATTTCTCGAGCGGATTGGACATTTGATGAGAAGTGGATCCTCTACAACAACCGGTGATGTTCGGCAGAGTGGTTGGATACCGGAGAAGCTCCACAACACTTCCCGAAGCCGGAATTGCACCAAAAAAAGGTTATGGTGACTGTTTGGTGGTCTCACAAAAAGAATGCAATTTATTTTTTATATATATATACTAATATAATATATGTACACATTAATTACATCATATGAAGTTCAAGATACTGTCTCCTGTGGTGAATGATATTTTATTTAATGTGGGTTGTAAATATTGTATAATAATAGCTTCTGGACTTTTAAGTCTTTCCTTGCATTGGGTGCTATAGAATATGTTGACGTTATCCACTAATATCTGTCTTAAGTTGATAGTTACATTTCGGTCGGAAAATATTTTGCTCGGGTTAAACATTGAGCGCTTTTTGTGAGTCAGTTTTAACATTTAATATTTAATGTTTAAAATTTAATATTGTGTTAATAGGATTTACTTGGATTATGCCAACATATCGTATATATATATATATATATATATATATATATATATATATATATAAATATATATATGGATATAGATCCGACAGTATGAAGAAAAATATATACGGAAAAAACAAACAAAAATACTTATATACAATTATGCTGTTTTAATGTTAATATGTCAGCGTCGGACGTTTCGGTCTAATAAACCATCTTCAGGAAATATTCATAAATTATAACATTATCAATACAACATGTTCTTATTACATCAATACAACATGTTCTTATGTACATCTTTACATGTATTGATAATGTTATAATTTATGAATATGTCCTGAAGATGGTTTATTAGACGAAACGTCCGATTATTAACATTAAAACAACATAATTGTATATAAATTTTGTTTGTTTTTCCGTATATTTTCTTTCATATATATATATATATATATATATATATATATATATATATATATATATATATATAAGTAAAAAAGGATCATTTAGCTGATTGATGTTACCTTCAGCATCCCTATTCCAGAGTTTCATAGCCGTCCCATCCACGCACTCCTCAGGGTGTATCAGCAATTGACTACTTATGCATCTCTATTTTTATTTTTATATGCAGTTATCATGGGTGCAAGTTCTTTTCGTAATGTGTGTGTGCGCGTATGTGTGTGCATGCGCGCCTGCGCCCGTACGCCCGTCTTCGTGGATGTGCGTACGTTTGCTGTGCCGTGATCATTTGTCATTTTCTTTTTTTTTCTCTCTCTCTCTCCACTTTACACTGACTCGTAACGCCTTTTCCTCTCTTTTTACTTTTTTCTTCTTTTTCAGTTGTAGCCATTTGTTGCTATTTGATTTCCGTTATCATTTTCTAGACATTTCGTTTTTAGAATGAGAGAGAAAAAACTTTTCGTGCCTCGACTGCATGAATTTAAGCGTGCTACTAGATTGGCAATTAGGTCTCACCGTTTTACTGCCGAACTAGCTAGATGCAACCGTAAATTCTATTCTAATAGATTCTTTTCTCGCACTTCTCGCTTTCCTGTCACCTAGAAACTTAAAATAATTCAATGTAACGCCAATCGCTATCTCATGTCTTCCTGGAACCTGTTCTTTTATTGTCCTTTCTCCTCACTAAAGTCTTCTTATTTTTCTTACACTCCAATCAAGCCGTTGCATCCTAGTGGAATTATAGCCTTGCATGGATGTGAAATGATCAAGAAAAAATATATATTTAATTTAATGCTAAATCATATGTTCACCTGAAAAAAAATTTCTTTCTTAGGGATAACACCAGACCTGTATGAGATTATAATATCTTAATAAAAGATTATAAATAATATAAAGTGCTCAATACGTAAATAGACCAATCTTTGATTAAAAAGAGATATTTTGGTGATTCATCCGCAAGCGCGCCTGTGTTTTAGGCTGATCAGGCTGTAAATTAGAAAAAAAAAATTTTAATTCTCGTATTATCCTTTGATGAAACGGGGGGGGGGGAGTGCGCTCGTTATTAAATCGCAGAAATATATTCTTTTCAATACCATTTAATGTACACACATACACAAATACACAAACACACTACTCGGTGCCAAACGCAATCTCCAAGAGTATACTGACCGTTTGAAATTTAATTAAGCACTATTTATAGAATGATATAATTTTTTTCAAAAATTAAAAAAATCTTTTTAATTTATTATATTTTTCATGACATTAAATCTAGCAACTAAATCAACCGGTATTGCGATATAAACATAAAAGATAAGTAATTATTAATTTAATTTTATAGTGATGAGTTATCAACTATAAATTATTAATAATGGAAGGGGGCTAACTTAATTTAATTTAATATAAAATTCTAAAATTACTAAAGAAAAAAACATATATATAAAATGACTAATAAAAGATATTAAAATCTATAAAAAATATTAGATGAAAATAAAATGAAATAAAAATATGAATAAAAATATGTAATAAAATTCAATATTAATAAATGTAAAATACCCATAAAAGGTAATAAGTATTAAATAAATAAGTTAATAAAGAAATAGATAAATAAAAATATACTCCACTGAAAACTTAACCGAGATAGTATAGAAAAATTAATCTGAGTCTACGTGCTATATATATATATATATATATATATATATATATATATATATATATATATATATATATAAGTATATATATATATAGGTGTTTGTATATATATATATATATATATATATATATATATATATATATATGTATGTATATATATATATATATATATATATAGGTGTTTGATATATATATATATATATAGGTGTATATATATATATATATATATATGTATGTATATATATATATATATATATATATATATATATATATATATATATATATATATATGACAATTTAACTGATAAAATATGACGTTCGATTTACTGCTCGGTGAAACCATTCTGGTAAAAACTGTGGTAGCATAAATGTTGGTAAATATTATATATCTTATATATATATATATATATATATATATATATAGAGAGAGAGAGGAGGGGAGAGGGCGCATGCGCAAGACTTTGTATGTGAAAAATTTACACTCTAATATGGTATTTTGGTATTTACTGACTTACCCATGGTTGCTGGCTGTGACAGAAAGTCGGTTTAATGTAGAATGCCCATAACCGTGCATATAAGCCAAGGAGAAAACTTGTATAGTCCCTGGGGCCGCTGTCATAATGGTGTTAATATCCATCAATTCTCCATCTCCAGTGTAATGATAGCGGTGATGCCACAAGATGAGTACATTCTGCCCATTCAAACAAAGCCAGTAGGTGACGTTCCTATTATAGGCAGCATTCTTCTTAAAATCTCTTCTTTAAATGCCGTGTCCTTTCATGGCTCTCCACAACTTTCAATCTTTTGTAGCTCTTAGCAACGTTTATACTTTTACTATCCCCCACCTTCGATTATGTTCTCCATTGACACAAGCTCCTTAGGCAGATTGCTCGCTGTTCCCCTTTGCCCCCCCCCCGCCTTCAAGGACACCTGAATTTTTTCAACCCTTCTTTTCTTTATTTACATTAATCGGACTATTATCCTCATCTTTGTCGCCATATTTATCACAACGTTTCGGCCGTTGTACGCTCCGGCCTTCTTCAGTTGGTTGGAATGTCGAACTGAACCCTTTATTTCGCTCACCGGGGTAGACTGTTCTAGACAG